TATAGTCACCTCTCCATAGTCCTTTGAGGTGCTTATTCAGATTTCGCTTGAAAGCAGCGTCGGGCTCCTCCACCAGTCGCTGGAAGGGAATTACAGAGCGTTGTTGACCTCCACCAAAGTAGGTAGACTGAAAGAAGACCAACCGGCTGAAGTCTACGTAACGTGCGAGAGGACCCCAGCGTGTGTTCCTCTACTCGTAGTGGGAAACGCTGCTGCAACTGCGGGCCCATATCACCTCTCAGGATTTCCGTCAGCCATATGAGATCATCTGACGCGCCGATATGCACATAGTTATAGACCAGCAGCGCGTAGATGACCTTAGTAGCTGGTCTAGCAGTCTANCCAAACATTTTGTCGGAAATCTTAGAATTTCCGAATGAGTCCTAGAATGTCTTACGCATTGGCGCAGACCCTATCGATGTTGCTTTTAGTCTTCAGTAATGACATCGCTATAACTCCCTGATCTTTTTCGCACAATGTTCTGCGCAATGCGGCTGCTTGTAAGCTGTAAACCACCTCCGAATCAGCACACCCTAGGTGCAGTGGGGCACACTTAGTTAGATTGACTAAAATCAATGTGTCCGCCCGCTGAACCAGGGTGTTCAGATATCCTTGTAAAGTAAATCAACCCTCCGGACTCCCGACTGCAGGCCAGATTTTGATAGCATGCTCATTCGTCAGTGATGGGCGGCGCAGTTTACCGAGCAAGTCATTGACATAAATCACGAACAGAGGCGGACCAACAGCAGAGTTTTGAGGGACTCCGCTGAAGGCGAGATATCGCATAGATAGCGACCTGACAACACGGATGCAGAATTTCCTGTCGGTAAGGAAGTCTTAGCGAGTTCAGCATCGTGAATGAGTGAAAATAAATAGCGGACACTAAACAAAACGACGTGAAAATTGGTGAAAAAATATCCAAAGTAATGTAAATTGGATGAGCAGGTGCAGTTAACTTACTTTTTTAACCGCCACGATCCCACCAGTAGCCTTGTAACGAGCCTTGAAAACACTACCGTAGGATCCTTTCCCGAGTTTGCAAATTATCTCAAAAACCTCAGAAGGACTTTTGGAAAGTTCTGAGTCTTTCAACCTCTGCATTTTTGCGTACTTTCGGGAAGAAAAGAGCTCCTGCTGACGGTAAAGGTCACTAAGTGACAATCTAGTGAGAAAACAACGGATTATAACCAGTTCAGTTCGACACAAGATGCACCATACTCAAGGTCAAGGTCAGTCCAGTCCAGTCCAGTTCAGTTCAGTTTGCACAGGACGATGTGTGGCCCAGGCCAATCTTGCGTCCAGATTGATGTGTTGTTGGCTGTTCTTGTGGCTTCCAACACTGCGAGTCAATAGGTTTTTTCTGAAAGGCAGAAAGTAAGGTGCAGTATCACGTCCTGGGCAATGGCGCTCAGGAATAATAGTTACTTACCATCAAACTGCTTCAGGGAAGGTAGAAGCCCAACAGTCATCTAATGCCCTCTTGAAGGCAATGACGTTCGATCAACTTACCACCTTTTCTGGCAGACTATTCCAGTAAGGTATTACGCTACTTGTGAAGAACTTGGCTCGAATGTCCAGTCTTACANATGATCTTAAAGACTTCTATTAGGTCCCCCCTTACTCTTCTTCTTGCAAGAGAGAATAGGTTTAGATCCTAGGTCGATTGCCTAGGCCAACACACTTGATGCACATACCACATCCCAGACTTCTCAGAGTCCTCAGTGAATCTATGGCTCAAGAGGCTCTAGAGAAATGGCATTCTCTAAGAAACAAATTCCCTTCAGACCTGCATCTTCATCGGTGC